TTAATTATTTACTTTTTTCTTTTTTTTTTTTTTTTTTTAAAGCATGTTGGTTGTGATGGTATTGTACAATCAAATGCTCGTTATGATCCATGCGGAATATGTGGTGGTACAGGTGAAAGTTGTGGACGGACAATATTTCAATGGATGGATACGAAACAATTTTCACCATGTGATGCTACTTGTGGACCAAATGGTCATTTTTCATTTGCTAAATTAAAATTATTTATGATATTGTTGAAATGATAATGTCACATATTATTGATTGATACATGATATTTCTTATCATTTGTGAGATATTAACAGTAGAAGACTTGATAAAATACCATTGATAGCATTAAAATAAGTTTTTGAAATAAAGTTTAAAATAAAATAACTTCTTGCTAAATTTATAATGCCTTAAATTTCACCTGAAATATCCTAACGAAGTTTAATTTTAAATTTTAATATATGCGGACGAAAAATTGATAATTATTTTATAACTTTTTAATTTTAGCTTATCGTGTATCAGTATCAGTATGTCAAAATGTACGAAATGAACGAGTGGTACCAGAACGACTTTGTGCTGACCAACCACGACCACGTCCAGTTGTCGAAAAATGTCCACATATCATTTGTCCATCACAGTTCGTTTTTTTTTCTTTTTCCTTTTTTCGAATTATCTTCTAGAATTTTTAGAAGATTCAGCAGAAAAAAAAATTCATTTTGTCAAGCTAAACTTTTTTTTGTAAAGTTTTCATTAACTGCTTATTTTATCTAATTATTCCATAAAAATCTTTTTGACCTTTACCCTTTGTTCTCCAGAAAAAAAATGACCTTCAATATTCATCCACCTATTTATCGGTTTTTTTTCTTTTCCTTTCTCATTTCTTTTCTTATCTCATTTATTTTATAGATCCTTTGAATAATTTTAAAAATATCATTTCTTAAATTTAAAAAAAATTTTTTTAAAATATCACTTTAAAATTCTCTTAAATTTATAACAAAAATATTTGCTTATCTTGAGGATAATTACTTAGAACAATCGAAAATATTCGAATAATTAATCAATAAATCAAACGGAAATTATAAATTAATAATTTCTTCAAAAAAATGAAATAAAGATATCAATTATATAATTACGAATCATTGTATCATTGGAGGGATTCTAAAATTTGCATATTTTATGAATGCTTCAATTTCAAGAAGGATAACAAATAATTTATAGCGTCATTAATGAATGAATGACCTTGGCTTTGCAATTATGCAAATGAGGTAAACACATTTTGGTTGGACATTCTTTCGTCAATGCTACTTGCTGAATACTTCCTTCATCTTATTCATCATTTTTCGACCTAATAAAACCTAACAAAATGACAAACAAGTGGACAGACAAAAAAGACATGTGGACAGATATATTTTAGATCAAAACTCTTCCCCGCTCTTTCTTAAAGAATTCACTTGATCATTTCTTCTTATTCATTCGTTTGTTACAAGAAAATTTTATAATCGGAATGATTGCTCTCATCTTATTAGCATACGGTTCATTTGTTGGACCACATTTCTGGTCTTGTTAATTTTTAAAAGGAATGTAAAAGGCCATTTATCGTAGATTACTGTTTTTGATGTGAGAAACAAACCTTACCGGAATATTTAACCGGAAATTAACGTGTGAAGGAAAGTATATAATGTAATAAACATATTTGAAAGAAAAAAAACTATAAGTGTTATATGACCGGAATTATGAATAAAATGCTAAAATTCAAATTCAACATGAAGGAATAACTTTATAAGAATAATATCAGAAAGTGATAAGTTATGTTTGAATAAAAGAGACCGGAAAAAAAATACTCTCGGGGGAATTTAGTTTGTAAATGAAATTTTTTCATCCTTCAATTTTTTTTTTTTAAAAAATATTTAAAATCTCAATACACCTTTAAGAAAGAAAAATATCAAATTTCAATCAATAATCCTTTTTAGGGTGGACAGCATTCAATTAATAATTCCTTTTAGGAAGAGAAATATTAAATTTCAATCAATAATTCTTTTTATATGTTTTTACTAAGTTTTTAGGTAATTAGCTTAAACGAAATAAATGATTTCGTTGATAGCAATGACTGTAACATTGTATAGGATTGATAAGATAGTTCAAATAATTGCAGTTGAAGTTTCTGGATATCCGGATTTGTTATCCGTAAATGATGGAGTACTCTTCCGCCTAACCTTTAATTAATTATCCGTTTATTAATGATTTTGGGAAAAAGTTTTTCAGTAATTTTTTTCCAAACTATATGCAATATGATTAAATATATGAAAAAGAAGAGTCAAAATACTTTTAAGTAAACATTAAGCATATGTAAGACTAAAATGATTATTTTGAAAAATATTTTGAAATTAATTTTTTCTTTCAGAGTTTGTTTCGAAAATTTTAAGATATAACTGAATAGCTTTGATAGATGAGCTAATTAAAAGGTCGAGTAATTATTAACTGATTGATTGACTCATTATGAATCCTGAAATTGACCTGGAAACTTATATAACAACATACTAAAATATGAGAAGTAAGCTATGAAATGAATACAAGCAATCATCAAACCTTTTTTTTGCATGTTTAACTCAAATTTATTTAAATTTTGGCGTAAAAAATTTGAAATTTTTGTAGATAAGTAGTTGATAAAAGTGATAAAGTGATAACATTAAGAACAGATCAAAATAATACTGAGAAATTAGGGAATTGATTTGTTTTTTTCACAATGAAATAACAACATTTTTTTTACGGATTCTTTAATTGATTTCAAGTTTTTAAGTAATAACTCTTGAGGAAAAAAAATAGAAAAATTGAATTCAATTGATTTCAAAAAAAAAGAAAGAAAAAATATTTTTTTTCTCTTTCTCTTTTAATAAATTTTGTTAAAAATCGAAATAAATTTCCGTTCATTCATATCCAATTTTTGCGGTCATTTAGTAATATCTTTTATTCAAATTTTTATCCAAAAACTTTTTAACTTTCAAAATGACACTTTTGTGATACATTCAAATATTTCACACTTGAATAAATTTCAATTTAAAAAAAAAGGAACAAAAATTTTTTGCTTACGGCAAAATTTTTCAGTTTTTTTGATTCCAGTAAGATATCTAATTTGATTATTTCAAATCAGAAATATATTATTAGCAATATTTGAAATTTTTACACAACAATCTTTTAGTGCGAAAATTTAAATTTTATTGAATTACTTCCTAATAATAAGTAATTTTAGATTAAAGTTTTTTTTTTCTTTGTTAGTTGCAACTATATACGTTAATTTAAATTGAATTTTTGATCGTCTTTTAATTAAATATTCCATGGCTTCCTGATTCATATGAATAAAAAATGTATAAAATTAATATTATTAAATTATGCGACATTATTTTGAAATATAATACAACATCAAGCATAGTTCAAATGTCATCACATTTATCAACATTAAATTTGAATTAATTTAATTTATTAATTAAAATTAAATAAGTTTGATTCATTAGTTTCACTCAATGGAAAGAAAAAGAAATCTTTGTAGCAATATGAATCAAATCTATTTATGAATTTATGATAAATAAAAATATTTATTGAACGAAATCCTTATCGATTTATTGAATTTTTCTGATACGTTTTTAAAAGAGTAAAGACAAAAATACAAAAAAGGAGTACATTTTCAAAAGCGTTCCTTAAAAAAGGAATTCACTCTCAGAAACAGTTCCTGAAAAAAGGAATTCACTCTCAGAAACAGTTCCTGGAAAAAGGAATTCACTCTCAGAAACAGTTCCTGGAAAAAGGAATTCACTCCCAGAAACAATTCCTGGAAAAAGGAATTCACTTCCAGGAACAATTCCTGAGAAAAGGAATACACTCTCAGAAATTGTTCCCGAAAAAAGGACTACATTCTCCGGAAAGTTTTGAATTCCCTGAAACCTATTTATTCATCTTTTTTAACTAAAAAAAAGACGAGAATAAAGAGAAAAAGATTTGAAATATTATTAATTTATTAACAAAAACAGGATAATGGAAAAAATGAAAAGATTGCTTTTTTTTATAGAAAAATAAAAAGGCAAAAATGAGAAAAGACGAAAAAACCTTTTAGTATTATTTTTAATTAATCTGAATTTGAATTTCTAATTTTTTCTTTTCCAAAGTACTTTCTTTTTCTTTTTGTCCCATATTTTGTCATAAGGATATTTCAGTACAATGCTGAGGCAAAAAATGAAATTTATTCATTCATTAACTTTTTTCACCATTAATTGTTTTAATACTGGAAGTGAAGCAACAAGACTGGTTGACACTTTTTCCATAAAAATTTATTATTATTTCATCGCCAAACTTTTCCACCTTTAAATTTCTAATTACTCTTAAAGTTTATTAATCGATCCTATTATTTAATGATTGATTTTAAAGTTCAGTTATTGATTTTGTAACTTACTGATTGATCTTTTTGTTTATTGTTTGATCTTAAGGTTTATTAATTGAACAAATAGTTTGTTAATTGATCTTGTAGTTTATTGATTAATCATATAGTTTACTGATTTACCTGCAAAAAAAGAGAACCACAGGTAAGAGAGCAAGAAAATATTTCATAATGAAATAAATTTAGCTAAAAAAATAAATTTTCTTTTTTTTCTTTCACTTCCTCTCCCATTTCATTTTTCCATTTCTTTCTTTTTCTTTTTTTTTTTGGTAACAAAACTGCAATTTTTTAAAATTAAAATTTAGCTTAATTATTGGTTTCAAAAAAAAGAAAAGATACTAACATCGTCAATTGAAATTTATGCATTCTTTATTTTCTTTTTTTTTTCACCCAAACAAGTAAATGCCCATTTGCGCACAATAGCATTTGACAAATTTTTTAAGAAAATAAAATTTATAGCCAAAGCAAAAAAAAAATTACATTCATCGCATTCTTCGCTTCCGTATCTTTCATACTTATTTTATTTTATTTTTTACCGTTTTCTATCCATTCAAATAAAATTTAACTTGTTTTATTTTCTTTTATATTGTGAAATTAAAACACAAAATTTATTCATTCGAGAAAAAATTTTTTTAAATAAATAAATTTTGCGTAAATTTGATTTCCAAAATAAAGCTGCTGGAATAAGTTAGATCAGTTGACCAATAGCAGTAGTACGATGGTGGTGGTGATAATAATTGACAGTAGTTTGATGGTGATAATAATGGAGTGACAGTAGCGTGTTGGTAATAATAATGGAGTGACATATTTTCAAAGAATTTTTAATTTCACTTTGTAGACTGTAAATTATTGAAAATACAAAATTTACCACATTATTATTATTTTATTAAATCGTTTGGAAAATCAAAAAGTGACCAAATGATTGGAGGGAGTGACCAATTGTTGTTCATCTTTATTGTCCACCAATTCATTCATTCACAGCAAACTTCGCTTTTCATTATTTTATCAAGAAATGGAAATATGAAATTTATCACCATTATCACGTCCTCAATCATTCATCACTTCAACCATAATATCCTCTTTATTTTTTATTTATTTATCTTTTTTTTTTTGTTAGCATAATTAGATGTGACATCTAATTTCTTCCTCTATGACAGTGATTCTCAACCAGTAATTTGTGGACTACAAGTGATCTGTGATACAAGTGATCTGTGAGGGTGATACCGTGATGAGTAGAAAATGGGCGGAGATTGTTCTTATCATTGCTTGATAAAGTGGAATGTTAAAAACTTTGATCAAAGTTGATTTTCAAATTAATAGAATTCAGTGTTTTTAAAGCATAAGAAGTACACAAAAAAAGGAAAAACTACAAATTACAAATCAGAAGCAGGTCACTGATCACTGGTCATTGGTCACTACTAGTCAAGAAAAGGTTTTGAATCATTGCATTTAAGACAAAACCTTCATCATATGCTTTCCCATTCTTTTTAATCTTTAAATTAAAACTTTTCTTTTTCAATATTACCCATAGAAATGACTTTTTTTTCCCAACGATTTATTCGCCTGACTGATAATGACTGGTTCCGGAAAAAAGCTAAATCATTCCGGTGTATTTATTTCATTTCATATTTTATTATCATTATTATTATCTTACCTGAAATATTTGAATTATTGATTTTTCCCTTTTTTTGACATACGTTAAAAATTAAAATCTTTTTCACCGAAATCAAACAGATCGAAATAAAGAAAGGGAAAAAGAGAGAGAGGGCGAGAGAAAAGGTGGAAGAGAAAAGAGAAAAAAAGAAAATTCATTATTTGGTATTATTATCATTACTGTTATTATTAATGAAGCTATTACTAATTACAACTGTTATTACTGTTACGCTCTTCAGACCAACGATTACCGTATCATATCAGTAAGTTAACACTGATAACAAATCATTCAGCTCCAATTTGATATGTATATAATTGTTTTTTTTTCGGTAACGTAGCTGTCTGCACCTGTTCCTAAGCTACACCTGCGCACACACACACACACACACATACATACATAATCACACATAAACACACACACATACACACACACTTCAATATCTGAAAAATTATTGATAGGACATGTCATTTCTCAAATACACACAAACCAATTTCCTTTTTGCTTTTGCGAACTGTGCTCAGCAATTTATTTTTTTCAAATCATCATGCGACAATTGCGCCATAACTGAATTTTACAACTTCTAATCAATAAAATCATTAATTTTGCTCAATTAATAATGTCAATGGAAAAAAAGGATTTGAAAATATAAACTTTTATTAACAGATTATAAATCAAAAAAAAAAGAAAAAGAAAAAATGTTTTATTGTATAATGAAGAAAATGGAAGGCTTTTTTTTGAAATTAGCTCAAATGTCGCATGTAAATATTTCATCGAAAATATTATTATTAATTATAATAATATATTATTTTCAGCTGCAGGTTATTGCAATTTTCTGCATGCATTTGCATATTGGGGAAAGAGAGAGTGGGAGAGAGAGAGAAAAAAGAAAGGGTATAACAATTTTTTTAAATTACGGTGTGTGCCAATATGATGGCAATGCGGTGATTTACCAATACTTATATTTTAGTATAAAAATAACTTTCATTTACTAAAAAAAGAAATATTTTTTAAGAATAAAAATACAAAGAGCAGGATGAAAAAAAAGAAAAAGCAAAACAAATAGATATTAATAACAATTTTTGAATGATATCAAATTTCATTCTATTAAAGTTTCACTTTTATTCGTCCTCTTCTAAATTCCATTTAATTAATTAACTTTGTAATTAACCCTACATAATGCTTTTGTATTATTATTGTCGCTAATTCATCTTACATATACTCATTTGCATGCATGTGATGATAATTAGCATGATTTTAACAGCATGATTTCCTTTTCTTTTTTTTTTTGTTAGGTTTCATAGCTTTTGCTATTAAATTTTTATTCAAAAAAAAGTACAAATTAGAATAATTGATATAAAAGAAATTAAAATTGAATAATTGATAAAAATAAATTGAAATTAGTATCGTATAAAAATTACGGTGTTATTTTCCCGAATAATATAAGCATAACATTTCATCCTATTTGTTCATAAAATTATATGCTAATTGATAATTATAAGTGATATCAGGATAGCTAACACTATCAGTAGTTTATATAGTTGACGTCAAATTCTCACGTAAAATATTATCTTTTTCATTTATATACAATGCTGAGATTACATAGAAATAATAACACCCATTTAAATGTAACAATTTAGAATTACACTCTTTTTTTTACGCATATAAAATTTTTTTTTTTGATAAAGTTATCACCAAAAAAAGATATTGCAAGGAATAAATAAATGAATGTATTTAAATAATAAATAAATCTTTTTGCTGGAAAAAAAGGTAAAAAAATGTTTTGCTTTGCTTTTTTTTTATTTTTGTTTTGGAATGATTTTAATCTTTTTATGCTTAAAATATTTCCGAAGGAAGTGTATAATTCAAGAAAAAAAGCATTTCGTTAATGAAAAAAAAGGTTTGTGCGTGATATGATTAATTAATAATAATTAATTAATAATAATGATTAATAACAATAAACGAATGGATAAAATAACTAGTGAAAAAATAATAAATCCAAATTTAATTTTGCAATATTTTAAAACTTTCAAATTTAGGTTCGGTTCAGTTGAAAATTTCATATAATTTGTTTCAAATATGAAATTGAATTGAATTGCAAAAGTTGAATAAATTTAAACTTCGGCTAAATTCCCACAAAAAAAGAAAACGAAAAAAAACAATAAGGAAAGAATAAATTTAAAATTAGTAATTCCATACGCTCTTTTTTTGCTTTTATATCATTTTAAATAAATATATTTAACAGAAATTTCATCATCTTTTTTATAATTAATTGATATAGAATTTTTTTTTATTTAAGATGTTCAAGGATTAAAGAACATGGAGTTCAATCAATAATTCATGTTTAAACATTGCATGCTTTTTTTATTAACTTGCATTACATCCTTCGGAAATATAATAACTTGTTTTTCTTTGCAAAAAAGATTTGCCTAATTAAGTAATATGTACTAAATAAGCAAATGAATTGTTTATTTTTGCATATCATTTTCAAAATAAAAAGGGAAAAAAAGGGATTTGGTTTTTTTTGGTTTTTTACTGATTTGAATTTTTACGAATTTTAATTTTAAATTACAAAATTGAATTTATTCATTACTATCGTACGTATTACTTTTCATATTGTTTGTTTGCATTTTTTTTTTTTTTGTAAATTGTAAATTTATTTTTTGTTTTTTTTGCTTTAGTTTTTATAAATTTTTAAAAATGTTAAAATTTTACTACGAAATATATATATATATATATTTCTTAAAACTTAGATGGATGATTGGAAAATGGTCCGAATGTACGGTAACATGTAATGGTGGATATCAGACAAGAAATGTATATTGTGTTGAAAGTTCCAATGATACAAATGGTAACATTGTGGAAAATCGTAAAGTTGATGAACAATATTGTTGGCAAACTCAACGACCGGTATGATAATAAAATATTTCAATAATAATTAATTTGCATAATTAATCATAATTAATTTGCAAAATAACAAAAAACCCATCAAAGTCAACGATATCTAAATAATAAAAGAAATATATAAAGTGAGAGGAGAAAAAAATGTTTGGGCTTCTTTTTTTAATAAAAATTAAATTTTTAAAGTTTTCATAAATTTGATTTTTTATTTTCGGAAAAGTTTTTTTTACTTCAGAAAAAAGTATTATTAATAATTAATTTAAAAATAATATTAATAATTAATTAAAAATTCTTCGTATTCTTTTTTTAATGAGTTTTTTCAATTTTTTTATTTATTTATCAAGAGGTTGTTTGCTTTTTTATAGGCTGAAAAATTAAAATTTCTAATCGTTTTCAATCATTAGAACTTGATTCGTTAGTTCATTGAGAATATAAATTTGTACATTTGATTATTTGAGATACTAATAAAATTACTGATAACAATGATAATTAAACTTATCATTATTAACATAGCCAGGTTTTAAAATACCATTTTTATGTTTCTTCTTTTTTTTGCAAATCATTGCATATTGAAACGTGAACTTTGGATTAAAATAACTGAACCGGAAGCTGTCTTACCTTCAAAACAACCTTTGCCGGAATCCATTTGGTTACAAGGAAAAGTTTACATTATCTGTCAAGTTTAATGTCACTATATGTTGCGCTTCTTGTTTTAGAATTCTTTCATACTGTGTTTTTCTTTTTCAGGTAACAAGCCGAAAATGTAATCGGAAAAGTTGTCCGAAATGGGAAAGAGGTGATTGGACTTCGTGTTCCGTTACGTGTGGTAAAGGTTATCGTACAAGACAGGTGATACATTTGATATGATGAAATTGAAACATAAGATTTAATAATTTATAAATGAATAGATTGGATTGAAAATGAAAATGTTAATCTAAAAACTGAAATTGGTATGCAAGTGAAATTTTGATGAAATCAAATATAATTCATTTATTAGATAGAAAAAGAGGTAAAACAAAGGATAAAATGAAATTATAATTAAATATAAATAATTAATTATATTACTCAAAAAGTCAATTATATGATGAGTTAATGAAAACAAATAATGAAGATTGTACTTATTAATTCATTTCATTATATCAGGTTGAATGCCGACAAGAAGGTGAACGAATTGATGATTATGCATGTCGTGGTACTGATCGACCGGATGATAAGCAACCTTGCTATACGGGTGTCACCTGTCAAACTAAGTTTTATAACTGTTAGTCGTTTCTTTGTTTTTCTTGAATTTTAATAAGTTTTTTTTAAAATTCTGATATTTTATGCATTAAAAATTTTTATAAGACAAACTAACTCAAATACTTGATAGTATCATTAAAAATTATATGCATATTATATATATTACTTACTGTTGAAATATTTATTTAAAGAGTAATTAGTAAGCTAATTAAATGTCTATCATAACCTTTTTCCTTAATGACACTAAAACTATCCTCTTTAATTCTTTTAATATTATTTAATTAGCAAAATTAATTGGCTAGAATTTTGGGAAAATTGACATTTTAAGGGTTTAATTTTTCGATCCTAGACCATGTATTCATTATACATATATTGGAGTTTCTTCCGTTTTTCCTTCCATTGTCGTCACAGATACAATTTTCCAGGCTATTTTTAAAAAATATATGCTAAAATTTAATTTGTAAAAAACTTTAATAACAATAATAATAATGATAATAATAATAACATTAATAATAATAATAATAATAATAATAATAATAATAATAATAATAATAATAATAATAATAATAATAATAATAATAATAATAATAATAATAATAATAATAATAATAATAATAATAATAATAATAATAATAATAATAATAATAATAATAATAATAATAATAATAATAATAATAATAATAATAATAATAATAA